ATCCTTAATAAAATTGTAGCAAACCACTTTCAAAACACATTAAAAAGATAGTACACTATGATCAAGAGGGCTCATCCAGGGAGATAAGTTTGGTCCAACAACTGCAAATCAATAAATATACATAAATACAAACACAAAATAAATAAATAAACACAAAATACATAAATAAAACACAAAAATTATGATTTATCTCAATAGATGCAGAAAATGCCTTTGACAAAATCTAGTATAACTCATGTTTAAAATGCTGGAGAAACTAAGGAACTTAACCTCAATATATGAAGACTATATATGACAAACCCAAGGCCAATGACATACTGAATGGAGATAAACTGAAAGCATTTCCTCTAAAAACAAGAACACGACAAGGATGCCCATTTTCACTACTCCTATTCAACATATCCTCTGAAACTTTATCATGAAATCAAAGGGATACAACAAGGAAAATGAGAAGTCAAATTATCTATTTGCAGATAACATGATCCTATCTATATCTAGAAAACTGATAAAACTCCACCAGAAGACTTCTAGAGCTGATAAACAAATTCAGCAAAGTAACAGGATATAATTTCAATATACAAAATCAATAGATTTTCTATATTCCAATAGTGAATCTATTGAGAAAGAAATCAGGAAAACTATATCCTTCACAACAGTCTCAACAACAACAACAACAAAAATACAAGCCAGATGCAGTGGTTCATGCCTGTAATCCCAGAGATTTGGAAGGCTGAGGCAGAAGGATTGCAAGTTCAAAGCAATTAGCAAAGCCCTAAGCAATGTAGCAAGACTCTATCTCAAAATAAAAATAAATAAATAAAGGGATATGGCTCAGTGGTCAAGCACCCCTGGATTCAATCCTTTGTACAAAAAAAAAAGTGAAACAAACAAACAATACCTGAGAATTAATATAATTAAGGAGGTGAAAGACTATGGAACAAGGAAAACTATAGAAAAAAACTGAAGAAAAAATGACAAAAACTTTGGAAAATGAAAAGAACATCTATGTTCTCGAATAAGCAGAATTAATAGTGTCAAAATGGCCGTCTTATCAAAAGTGCTATACAGACTCAGTGGTATCCACATGAAAACACCAGTGACATTTTTCACAAAACTAGGATAAAGAGTCTTAAATACGTATTTGGAAAAATATAAGACCCAGAATAGTAAATGCAATCATAAACAAGAAAAATTACACTAGAGATATCACAATATGTGAACTCAAATTGCACTACAGGTTATACTAACAAAAACAGCATCAAAATAGACATGAGGACCTAAAGAACAGAGTACAAGACACAGAGAAAAACCCACATACTTACAATCATCTGACCCTTGACAGAGGTGACAAAGATATATGTTGGAGAAAAAAATAGCCTTTTTTAACAAATGTGCTGTGAAAACTAGATATCCATATGTAGACTAACAAACCTTGATCCCAACTCTCACCCTGCACAAAAGTTAACTCAAAGTGGATTAGAGACCTAGGAATGAGACCAGAAATTTTTCAACTGCTAGAAGAAAATAGATCAAAACTCCAACATATTGATATAGGCACAAACTACCTTAACAGTACCCTTAAAGCTCAAGAAATAAAGCAAGTATCAATAAGAGGAATGGCATCAAATAAAAAAAGCTTCTGCCCAACAAAGGAAACAAAAGCATAATTTTTTTCCAGCTACTCCTGCACTAGGGGATTAATATCCAGAATACATAAAGAACTCATAAAATTTAACAATAACAAAAATATTTCAAACAATAAATAGGTAAAATAATTTAGTTATTTCTCAAAAAAAAGATGTACAAACGATCAATAAATATATGAAAAAAATGTTCATTATCCCTGGGAATCAGGGAAATGCAAATCAAAACGGCACTGAGATTTCATTTCATTCTAGTCAGCATGGCAATTATCAAGAATACAAATAACAATAGATGTTGGTGAGGATGCTGGGAACAAATAACAATAAATGTTGATGAGGATGCTGGGAACAAGCTATACATTGTTGGTATGAGTTGGACTGAAAATCAGTACAACAACTGGAAAGAAAGATGGAAATTCTTCAGGAGACTAGGAATTGACCTACCATATTACCCAGTTATCCCACTCCTTACTATTTGTCCAGAATAACTAAAATCAGCATACTACAGTGATACAGGCGCATCAAAGTTGATAGCAGCACAATTCATAATAGCCAAGTTATAGAACCAGTCCATGTGCCTGTCAACAGATGAAGGGGATAAGAAAATGTGATATATATATATATATATATATATATATATATATATATATATATATATATATAATATATATATATATATATATATATATATATATACACACACACACATAATGGAGTCTTACACAACCTTTAAGGGCATTTGCTAGTAAATGGATGAAACTGGAGAACATTGTGTTAAGTAAAACAAGCTAGACTCAGAAAGTCAAATGTCAAATGTTTTATATGAGGAAGCTAGAACAAAGTAAAAAAAAAGGAGAGGAGGATATCATGAAAATAGAAGGAATATCAGTGAAACAGAGAAAGGATATTGAGGAAAGGGGGAAGGAATGAGAAAAGGGAAGAAATACAGGATGAATTTTATAAAATCATACTATGTACATATACGAATATACTAGGTGAATTTCACATTTAGATATACCCATAAAGCACCAATTAAAAACTAAATAAATAGAGGAAACAGCAGTAGAGTAGACAAAGGAGGAATATGGGGAGTGGGGAGGGGAGGGGAAGTATAACATTGGGGATTGAAATGGGGCAATTTAAATGCCAAACATTATGTCAAAATGAATGCCCCGCTATTATATGTAACTACAAGCACTAATAAAAACATTAAAAAAAAAACCTTAAACCTTCAACATAGTTTTACAACTTTGTTTATTCAACAATAATTCATCACTCTAACCCGAGTCTTCCCTAATTTTACAAACAGAACCTGCTCGTGTTCATCTGGCACTAACAATCTATTATTCATGTTTCTTCAGGGACTTATTTATTTCCAGTACTTTTATAGAGGGGTCGTGCACATCTGAAGCAACCACAATGGTCCACAGTGATTGGTCCTTCTGATCTTACAGGAAGGCTTTCAAGTAAGTTACACAGAGTAAGAGGCAGGGGTTTATTGGAAAAGGTGAAGGTGAGTTCCCACAGCTTAGGCACTGAGTTAATTGTCTCCAGGGAGAAGGGCATAGGTCTCACACAGTCTGGGTTTTTAAGCAGTTTGAGTCCCTTCATTGTTGTCTTACTTCTCATACATGCTTTTGCTTAATTAGTGGCTTATTGCCCTTTGTTTGAGTGTTTGTATAACCCTTAGCAAATTTTCTCTATATGGGTCATGAAGACTGATCATATGATATAGCTATGACTTGACATTTGAAACAAATAGTTTCTTTAAAGGGATATAATAAACTATGGGAGAGATTTGACAAACCAATCTCCACTTTCCAGATGCTTGTCTTCATTGATAAAGTTCCCTGTTATTCCCAGTTCCATAACATACAGACTCACTTTGATGTATATGTTTAATGTCCTCTCTGTAAATTACCTCTCTTCATTGTCCTCACTCTATGCACCTGTTCATGGATGACTATCTACCTGAAAATACTACATAATGTTTTGCATATCTTTTCCAATTTTTTTAAATGAGGAAAATATTATCCCCTACATATGTAGTACACCTTGTAATTAATCATTGCCAAATACATATGTTGTTAAATTAATGGCCCATAAACCTTTTCTTTCTCCATGCTTCACAAATGTTTACCCAGGAATGGCAATGAAACATTTAATACACTTCCAGGTAAGCAATTGTTTTAGTCAGTTTTGTTGACCAGAACAGCACAGAGGAGGAAAAGTTTATTTTTGGTTCATGGTTTCAGAATCCCAGCTCATGGTTCACTGACTCTATAGCTCGGGGACACAGGCTAGGCCAAATCATGATGGAAGGTAATGGAGAAAAAGAGGGACTCAGGCAAAGCACCAGGAAGCAGAGAAAAATTCTGATCACCAGGGACAAAATATAAACCACAAAGCATGACCCCACTGATCTGTCTTCTCCAGACACATCCTATCTGCCTAGAACTACCACTCAATTAATGCATATTAGTGGATTAATCCATTGATAGTTTACAACTCGCATAATCTAATAATTTCCCTTCTGAACATGTTTGTTATTATCTCACACATGAATTTTCAGTGGACACCTCATATCTAAACCATAACAGTGATGTTTTCCCTGCAATTTGAGACTTGACTCTTTTTACTTTGTGGGATTTGTTTTAATGATTGATTTAAAATAGAGGTAAAATTTAAAAGTAAAGAATTAAGTTAATTCTGTAAGGAAGACAAGCATCAGGTTGGTTGATATCAGTGGATAAAACAGAAGGATGCTCAAAAAGTAATACACAGCTTTAACACAGATAATTGTTAAGAGATGAAGTTATGTCATTAGTTGAATTATGTCAATGTAAGAAATGTAAATCGCATTTTAAAATTTGAAAAACATGTTATACTTGACCTTTCACTTAAGTAATAAGAAATTTTAGACTAGCTTTGTTTCCCGATGTATCAGAATAGGAGTGTGGCATTGATGAAAATATACTAATATCTATAAACAAATCTTAAAAATTAGGACCTTGAGTGCAATTAAAAACAAATTAAATTCAGCAAGCATCACTGGAGTAAATAGGGTAAAAATGTATGATGGTGCAACTTTGGAGGTTGAGACAGGACTATTACTTGACTCCAGGGATTTGAGGCTTTGAGATCAGCTAGGGCCACATATTAAGATATCTATCTCAAAAAGAAAAGAGAGAGAGAGAGAGAGAGAGAGAGAGAGAGAGAGAGAGAGAGAGAGAGAGAGAGATGATCCAGAAGACATCTCATTTTCGCAACACAGAATAGTTGCACATAACAAAGGGTTATTTTATCTCAGTCTTACACAGACAAGTAGCTTTGCAGAATAATTTAACAGATGGGTGTTTACATCCAAGGATGTTTTACTTTTGCCTCGCAATCGTTGTATTCATCATAGTAGAGGCAGGGATTAGCTGAAAGAAAATAGTATCGTCTTTAAAAAAATCACAGTCACTGAAGAAAGAGATCATTCTTTTAAAGACGTAGATAAATTTTATTAATAGTAACTAATTAAATTTGATAAGCAAGAATAATTAATTCTGAATAGAAAACAAGCAATGACTTAAATGAGATCTCCATGAAGTAAAATATAAAATTCTTGTCTTAATCTAAAACGAGTTTTTTCCATGACAGATTTTTTGATACATTTACCTTCAAAGACATCAGAGATGAGTAATTTTCCAGTTACCCTGTCATTTTGAAAGTACCAATAGTATTAACAATATAAAATAAATGATAAAAGTTTAATTCATTCTTATTAATTTATACTATATTTCTTAACGATTATGGATTTGCTTTGTATTATTAAAGATAACATACAATGTATCTAAAAACTGAATAAAGAGCAATAAAAGAAGATGGCAACTTAGATAAATCCACAGTGCTGGAGCAGCTTGGCAAGTATGAATTTAATCAACAGTTCTGCAGTGGCAAACTTAGAAGCATTGAAAGTTAAAAATTAATACTTGTACTATACTGAACCTATGCATTGAAACTAAGATACACTGAAAGAGGAAGAGGACTCTATCTAAACAGATATGCAAATCCCAAACCTCTGAAAACATGAGCAATCAGGCAAACAAGTCTTCCCAAATGTTTCAGTCCTCAAAGGACCCCACAGATGTGGAACTGGATGAAATTTCAGAGAAAGACTATAGAATATTAAAATGATTAATAAGTTTAAAGAATATCTCAGAAATGAATTGAAGCAAACACAGAAGATGAAAGATGATTCCAATAAAGAGATAGGGATTCAGAAAACAAACCAATCAGAACTCCTGGAAAGAAGTGAGATACAATAAATTAAATTGAAAGTTCACTTGGAAGTATCACTAACTGTTTAGTTAGATAAAAAACACAACTTCAGTCTCTGAAGACAGGGTACAAGAATTTGAACACTCAGTGAAGAGTAAAGAGAAATAAAATACAATAAAAGACCATGATCAGAATATACAAGAATTCAGGGACAACAGTAATGGGTCAAACTTAAAAGTTCATTGGAATTGAAGAGAGCATGGAGATATAGGATAGTGGTGTTCAGAAACTTTTCAATGAAATAATAGCAGAAAAGTTTCCAAGGTTTAAGAATTAGATTGGCATCCACATATAGGAAACATATAAAACCTCAAGTAGAATCAGAAAAGAACTTATCCAAGACACATTATAATCAAAATATCTAATATAGATATGCTGTCTATATAGATATAATTATATATATTATATAATACATAATATTTTTATGCTCTGCATAAAAAAATGACAGAGCACATTTAAATGTAAATATTTAAAGGCTCATTTCTGAATTCTCAACTCAGACTTTAAAATCCAGGAAGACCTACAAAAAGATAGCCAAAGCTCTGAAAGAAAACAATTGCCAAACAAAATTTTTATATCCAGAACAGCAGTCATTAAAAATTAAAGGACAAGTAAAGATTTTCCAAGATAACTAATAGAAGGCATGACCACTGAGCCAACACTATAGAAAATACTGAAAGTATTTCTACCCAAAGAAGAACTTAAAAACAAACTTAAGAGCTCTCAAATGAATGAAACCACTAGAAGAGGTGTCAAGCAAATAAAAATTAGGAGTTAATTAAAAGCAAATTAAAATGGCAGAAAATAATAGACCTCTATCCATAGAAACACTAAGTATAAATGGTTTCAATATTGAAATTAAAAGACATAGGCTGCCATAGTGAATTAAAATTAAGCTCTGAAAATATGCTGTTTTCAAGAGACTCATCTTCTAGACAAAGACATTCATACACTGAAAGTAAAAGGAAAGAAAACTGATATTTCTTGAAAATAGAGTTTAAAAACAGGAAGGAGTAATATACAGATATCCAAAAAAAATAGATTTTGGGCAATAATTATTCAGAAGAGACAACAAAGATCACTATACACTGGTAAAGGTAACAATTCAACAAAAAGTATAATGGTAAATATTTATGCCCCAATTTGGTACACACAATTAAGAAAACAAGCCCTCTTCAACATTAAGTTTCAGGTAGTCACCAATACAATAACACTGGGTGATTTCAACACTCCTGTCATCAATATGTCATCTAGATGTATAATCAATAATGATACTTCTCACCTAAATATTACAAACCAAATGAATCTACGACATCTATAGAATATTTCATTTAACAAAATTTGAATTCACTTTTCTTTCAGTAGCACATGGAACCTTCTCCAAAATAGATAATATCTGAGCTGACAGTGTAAATCTTAGAAAATTTAAAACAATAGAATCACTTTTTATATCTTACCAGAACATAATAAAATGAAATTAGCAATCAACAACAAGAAATAATAGAAGCCACATAAACATATGAAAACTGAATAATAATCCTTTGAATGAGGAATTGATAATAGAAGAAATGAGAGGAGAATTTAAAAAAAAATCCTAGAATTAAATGACAATAGTGATACAACACGCCAAAATTTCTGAGACACTATGAAGGCAGGTTTTAGGAGGAATGTTTATTGCATTAAGTGTCCACACTTAAAAAAATAAAAAGCCACCAAAAAAAAACAATCTAATGATATATCCCAAAAACCTAGAAAAGTAGAAACAAACTAATATCAAAACAAGTAGAAGATAGGAAATCATTAAAATCAGAGCCAAAATTAAAGAAATAGAAAATTTTAAAAATTACAAAAATAATCAATGCAATAACCACTTGGTTCTTTTCAAAGATATACAGGATTTAAAAACCCATAGCCAAACTAACCAAAATTAAAAAAAAAAATAGATGAGTAAAATCAACAAAATCAGAGATGAAAAGAAGGTACCACCACAGATATTTCTGAAATCCGGTGGATTATTAGGGAATATTTTGAAAAGTTATATTCCAATGAATTTGAAAATCTAGATGATATTGATAAATTTCTAGATACATATGACCTACCCATTTGACTTAATAGGATATAGAAAAGCTAAATATATCAATATTGAAGCACTAAAAAAGTCTACCAACCAATAAAAGCCCAGGATGAGATATATACTCAGCTGAGTTCTACCGGTCCTTTAAAGAACAAATGCCAGTCCTCTCCAAATTACTCAATGAAGTAGAAAGGGAGGAGACACTGATAAATTCATTCTATTAAGCCCATATCACCCTGCTACCAAAACCAAATAAAGACACATTAAGGAAAGAAAATCTCAGACCAATATCCCTGTTGAACAGAGATGCAAAAATCCCTCCATAAAATACTAGTGATCTCTGTTCAAAAATATATTAAGAAGATTATACAACATGATCAAATTGGTTTCATTCCAGGGCTACAACATTAGATCAACATACACAAATCAATAAAGGTAATTCATCGCATAAATAGAACTAAGGAAAGAAATCACTTGATCATCCAAATAGATGCAGAAAATGCCTTCATCAAAATCCATCACTCATTCTTGTTAAAATACTGATTTTGCATCTCTTTCAAAGATGAGATTGTTGCATTAAGATTATAAGGATGTTGTAAAATGTTTTGCTTACTTTTATGTGTCATATGCTTTCTCTTTCCTAAGTCACATAATTGATTCATCTTTCAGTGTCTTGGAGAAGGACTACAGTAGACTTATGGAAGTGCCACAGGGAGATGTAGATGTCATTTTATAGCCCAAACCATTGTGTATTTGGCAGTGTATTTCTGCTTCTTTTTCTTATGACCAATAATTTGCCAAGATTATTACTAATTACCCTTTAAATTAGCTACCTTTCATTATTCTAGTATGTTCTAAATGTAATACACTTCGGGAAATATAGTATCAGAGATTTTTTAAAAATTTATAAGTAACATGTTTCTTGCTTAGTTAAGTTTTAATGCATCTTTTTCTTTAATTTTTAATATATATAATCATCCCAATTTAATAAATAGAAATTGCTATTTTCATAAATTTTATTGGTAAAAATTAAACAATATGTCTGCATGTCCAGGTCTTAAATTCTTAGCATTGTTTTTGACAAATAATGCCTATTAGTATATGCATATATTTCTTTAATTTTATGCTTACTTTTATGTGTCATTTTTTTCTTTTCTAAGTCACTGTGAGAGACTAACCTCGCATGTGACTGAGTTAACTCCCCTGCTGGGCGATGTGGCATCAGGCACCCATGCTGCTAGACTGCCCCTCTCCTAGGGTTCCAGTGACTGTGTCTTTGTGCCTGGGCGTGTCTTTCTACAGCCCCATGGGTAGAGCTATGCTCACCTGTTCCTTTGTACTTTTACCCCTTGCCCTGTTAAGGATAGAATGATCCATGGAAGTACCTAGTGTGTGTCCCCTTCTCTTACTGTGCCCTTGGGTGTGGCTACCTAGATGTCAGTTAACCTGCTGACAGTGGACATCATGAAGATAGACTCAGACCCCTGAAACCTGACCCCCTTGCCTCATTTGAATAGCTTCTCCTCAATAAAAGGGGTCAGTGTGTGTTCTCTCTCTCTTTCTCTCCCCGGACCCCTAAGGTCACAGGAGCCACCACAGTGACTCCAAAGAAAAAGGTATTTGTGTCTCTTGCATGGTTATTTTGCACAGCCCAGTTAGCGCAGTTCAACTGGAGTAACCCCTGAGCCTTTTTTTAGTCGTGAGAACAGAAACCCAGCAAGTCACATAATTGATTCATCTTTCAGTGACTTGGAGAAGAACTATACTATACTTTTGTTTGAGAAAAGACAGGAAATATAGGCACCATGTCATGACTCAGGAGCCTGTGGCCAGTGCCTCCATGATGAGGTCAAGTGACAAGCAGCCTCCCATGACACTTGAGGGCCAGTAACTGTAGAGTAATCTGAGTCTACCTTAGACAGGGAGATGCCTGTGGGGACTGACTGCTTTTGTAGGTACTCCCCAGACTGGTTCAGAACAACACGTGGATTTGGGACAAACCCTCTAGCACTGAAACAGTGATCATGTAGCAGTAGCAGAATCTTGGCAACCTGAATCTGTGCACTACCCAGGGCTGATGTAACAGAAACTATAGCAAAAATGAACAATATGCTTAGACTTTCTGGAAGGACAGGCATAAAGTCAGATGAGGAAGATGGATAAATATCCACTCCTTCAATGTCAAGAAAATGTCATACGCCAGTAAACATGAAGGACTTTTAGGAAACCAATCTTACCTAACAGTCAAAAATAAGGTAGCAGAAACTGAACAGGCAGTAATCAGTATGGGAAAACTTTTGGATAAAGAAGTTAAAACAGCTATTTTAAAGAAACTGAATGAATGTGAAGAAAATGCAGAAAAATTATTTGATGCTCCAACAGCAAAAAAAGTGCTGATAAGGATGTGGAGAAAGGGGAAACTTTATGCACTGGAAAGAATGTAGATTAAGGTAACCATTAATCAAAAGAGTATGGAGGTTCCTCATTTCTTTTTATTTTTTTAAAGTACTTTATAATGCAGCAATTCCACTATTGGGTACATATCCAATAGAAATGAAATGAGTGTGTTGAAGAGACACCTGGACTTCCATGTTCATTGCAGTATTATTCACAATAACCAAGAATCAACTGATCAATGAATAAAGGAAATATGGTACACATATACAAGGGAATATTACTTAGCCTTAAAAGAGAGTGAAATCCTGTTCTTTGCAACATGATGTGGATGGAATTGAGTTCTCTATGCTAAGTGAAACATGCCAGGAACAGAAAGGCAAATCCTATATGATCTTCCTCATATATAGAATAAAAAGATTGTTCTTAAAGTAATTGAGAGTAGAGTGCTTTTACCAGAGACTAGGGAAAGAAAGAGGAGAGATAAGTGGGAAAAGTTCACCACTGGGTACAAAACAAATACTCTTAGATGTTTCAGAGCAGGTGCAGAACAAGAATTACTCAATAAAAATCTGCATGCCATAATAAGCAGTCAAGAAAATAGGAAAGTCAGAAAGCAGGTACAAAAGTTGTACAAAAGTGGAGCACATGGTTCCTGAACCAGTGGGTCAACTTTAAGCAATCAGCATTTGCAAAACTTACTGCAAAGTCTGTCTTCACAGTTATTTGGACAGTCTTCACATGGGCTGCCCTTCTTATAAGGTACATTAATTGTGTTAGGATCATTTCCCCTGAAAGAAGAGAAAGTAAATATTGTTTAGTAAAATACATCATTGTACAATGTACATAAAATTTTACTAAGTGAATACAACCAATTTTAGAAACAAATTTTGTAAACATTCTTTTAAGCAATGAGCAATAATTTTTAAGATGGGTATGATATTTCTAGACTTACAGATAGGAGTATGTTTTTAGCATATACCACTTAGCAATTCTGAGGATCACAAGAATATTTTTCAGGCAATGTGCATCTCTCTTTTGATATTCTAGTCCTAACAGTACCTGGGACCTGTGAATGGTTAAATACTAACAAACAGTATGACTTTGGAGTTAATTGCAATAAAATACTATTTTTTATTAATAACCATGAGAAAGTAGGAACCCATCATGGAAAAGGGCATGGTCCTTAACACTATTAAGGAAAAAAAAACTCACTTAATTTGAATGAGAGGTGTTTGAATTTTAGCTTGCACTATATTATTATAAATATGAAACATGTTAGTGACTTTGGTAGAAATGCCTGAGATATTAAAGGAGGAAAGTGCACTAGCACATATTATATTGTAATATTCTGTGTATGTATGAATATGTAACAACAAACCCCATCATTATGTACAACTATAATGCACCAATAAAAATGTGTGGGGGTGTTAATAAAGTGTTTGGGTAAGGAAAGAAAAAGGAGATAAAAAAACCCTCCAGTTCTGAGATATTTGAAATTTCAAAAAAACTCAACTCTTACCTGTAGATGTCTAAAAACTTAAAATGTAGATAATGTCTGGTTCTTAATTAATACAACGTGGAAAAAAAAGTTGTGTGTTCTGGTTTAAAAACCTTATTTAATTTATAATTATTTCTTTAATATCTTAACTATTAAACTTCCACTTTATTAAAGAAAGTTATTACTAAATTCAATAAAGGATTTAGTCGGCAATATGGACTAATGTTTTATTGAGAAAATTTCCCCATTATAGCTATTCACATATTATACTTTTCTCTTTTACATTGTTGGAAATTCATCATAGACCACTAACCCCTGCAAAGAAGTAGTACAAATGATATGCTGTAGGTATAAATAGATCTTATGGTCTTCAGACCAAATTATTAGAAAAAATCCCAACACATTTTAACTAATGAAATCAAGGCATGGAAGACACAGTAATTCATATAGACCTATTATATGAATATATTTTAGCTTATTATATATTACATTCTGGTGAATATAAATGATATTAGAAATCCTATTTGAATTTAAGTATGGAACATGTTATCAACCAACTCACATCCATTGATTCACGTTGAACAATCCTTTGTGGTGGTCCACAAGTGGGAGACAGTGATTAAAGGCTATGTTTGAGCTCACAGTATCAAGTGTGTTGACCCAGAAAATGCAAGTGGCTGAAGGAATCTTGCAGATTTGTTTTCAACTCCATCAACAGAAGTGATACAAGGTGTTATTTATGGTCAAGTATCAGAGGGCTATATGCTTCTGTGAATAACGTTCCCTATTCTGATAGCTGTCCCTTGATTCACTCAGGTGAGCCCCTACAGTCATTCTTTTCTTATCAGATTGAACTCCACAACCAAAGTTGATAAGGCAAAGAAGTACACCTGCCTCTCGCTGAAGCAATTAGATTAACTTTTCTAGGATTTGTGCTTAGTACCTGTGATTCTATGATATATAAACTTAATTTCTGAAGAGAAAACACACAATAGTATTCAATTAAGAACGCAGAATAACACTTGGCTTTTTTCTTTGTTACTTTATTGAGATTCCACTGCCATTTCTGCCCTTGAATTCTAAAACTACCTGAGCTACTTCAAATCTGTTTCCCTAACATAATACTTACCCTAGGTGTCACTGACACATAGGGAGACTACTGCTCAATTGTTTTTAATTTTTATATTCTCTTAATGAAATATAAACTTATTTATTAAAAATATGATGTAAAAATATAGATGTGTTTGTGAGTTTTTTGGCTGTGTCTGTGAAGGTCTAACTGGAAAAAAATAGGTTTTCTTTCATAATGTTTGAAAAACTCAGTTATATTTTGTAAAGAAAGATACATTTTTAAAAGTGGTGGGAAGCAGTGATACATACTCATGGCAATAATGACAAGTGTAGAGATACTGAGGTACACCTTGTTTGCGGCATAATGAAACAGCACAACCAATGAGGTAAGAAGAGGCCCAAATAACCTGCAAAAATAGAGTATTTTATTACAAATTTGACATTCAGCTAAATGACTACAATAGCAGTGCTATTATCCATGGTTAAAAAGTGAACAAGTGCTGGATGCCACCGCCCATGCCTATGATCCCAGCAGTTGAGGAGGCTAAGGCAGGAGGATTACCATTTTGAGGCCAGCCCCAGCAGTTTAGCAAAGCCCTAAATAACTTACTGAGATCCTGTCTCAAAATAAAAAAATAAAAAGGGCTGGGAATGTGGCTCAGTAGTAAATGGCTCTTGGGTTTATTCTTCAATATCATAAAACAAAAACAAATACAACAACAAACAAACAAACAAAAATCAACATGCTTGCTTTAGGTTTGCTCTGAGCATGGCTTATTCAGAAGCCATAGAAACATGGTCCCCTGTTTCTAGTAACACATACACAGGTACACACATGGCTATAGACAATGGAAGCAGAGGAAATCACATCTGATAGGCAAGCAAGGGTAACTTGATTGTTGGCATTTTCTCTATTTTTTGGCAGTTTTCTTTAGAAGTATTCTGCATTTCTGAATATTCTTTCTAATTAAAAAAAAATCCCTTGATGTTCATTTTCTCTGGGAAATGAAATGGGTAGAGCAGGGGTATAGGTAAAGGAGAAGTGATGTTACTCATTTTGCAGTGAATAGGTTGTTCTTCAAAAGGGACATAGATGTCATTGTGTACATGGGCTGTGTATGGCTGAGCATGACACTCATCATATTATCCAGTATATTCCAGTACATGACTCTATGTCAGCCCTCTCTCATTTATTTTTGTTGGGACTAACGAGTCCATGACTGGACTATCATCAACATGAGTGGCTACCATCAACTATGGTTCATTCTTCTTGGTGGTTATATAAATAATCATCAAGGGAAGGACATTTTCTTATTGGTCAGAGAGCAGGCATAATGTAGAATACTGACTTAGCTTTTTAAGGCAAAGTGACTAGGTTTAAATTTCATCTCTATCACTTCTTTGCTGGGTGATATTTGGCAGTTTGCTTTCTCTCAAAGTTCCCTTTCACCATTTTTAAAAAGTGTATATTAATGCTATCCTTGGGCTGGGAAGGCAGCTCAGTGGTACAGGACTTCCTCTGCATGTGCAAGACCCTGCATTCAATGCTCAGCACCGCAAAAAAGAAACAACACAAAACCAGAAACAAATGTTTAGGTTGTTGGAGGAGATGTTTTTAAAAATATGATTGCTTCCACTCCCTGTTGACTGTGTCCATGTGACCCTGATAGGATTTCACTCAGCAAGTCCTGAACAATTTGCTTATGTTTCCTTTTTCCTGTTCTGGGTCAGAATGACTTTCTATGACATATTTTGATAAAGTATTATTTTTTCTTCCCCTAAGAAAAAGCTTTTATGGTTGTCCATCTCTCTCCACCATATTGCTTTGAATTATCTACTGCTAGTGAGGACAAGCCTTCACCCAAACTATTGCTCTATCTTAGATACAAAACTTTCATGATGCAGATTCAATGTGTGCAGTTTTCTCCTCTCATTCTAACACATGTCTGTGTTTCTTAAGAAATTCTGAACTATGAATCTAATGGGTTAATTAGAGAAGTAATTTGATAATGAAAATAGAGTAGAATGTCTATTTTTCTCATGTTCTCATCACACATTAATTATCGGTAAGATGACTGAATTTAACTTATTCATTCCTTCCACCCATTTTAAGAAAAAAGTGAAGATGTAACTTTTTTCATTAGGTTTTCATGTTCTATGATTACATTAATACATTCTACAGGGCCACATACAATTGAAAAATGTTACTGTTTTCTATTGTTTAAAATTTTAAGCAAAAGAAGGCAAATTTCTTTGATTTGTTTTCTTAATTTCTTCAAAAAAAAACAATGAGAGAAATAATTTTAATAAAACATATTTTTAAAGGGTGTTGAATGAGTTTGACAAAAGTAAAGCAAGATTATTTGGAGTTGATGAATTTAAGTTGCTCTATCAGAGCGGCAGGGATTACGTTTTCCTTACAGAATTAGTGGGTCAAGTTGACTGTCATAGGAAAGAATTGAAAGGTAAAAACTGATGTTTCAAATTTGTCAACTTTTAGCAATCCATTCTATTGGCATCTGCTAATCCTTCAATGACAAAAATTATATGACTAAATAGCCATAAGTTAGGATACTCTTGGATTATTGAGATATTTATTTTATGTCCAGGCTATCAATTTGCAAAGAGCAATGCTATTAGCTAATGTTTTCTTTAGTATTGCAGATATTGATAGGAATGTAGATGTTGTAGGAATGTAGACATTGATATTCATATGTGATTAAGTCTATTATTTTTAAATGTTTTAACTTAATCAGTGTTCAACATTAATTTTAATTTGGACTTATTTTAAACAGATTTTACTTCATATTTTATGAAACTTAGCAATGGATACATCTAAAGTTCCTTGCTTTTAGAATAATAATGATTTTAGAATTTTATTTTTTCATTTTAATGTTTAAATCATCTCTTTGGGGATTATTTTGTTGATTTATATGTTATTGGAAAATTCAGGTATTTAAAATTATTTCTAGACATGAACTTGTTTTCTACATGGCAGCCAAATGATCTTTTAAAAACATGAATCAGATTAATCCTCCCCCTCCATTGACCATCTAATTATTTGTCACTTCATTTAAAGTAAAATATAAACTGTGCAGTAGCTAACTAACAGCCTCAGTTGTTATAGCCCCCCTTCCTTCATGTTCTGAACTCCTTCCACTCTCCTGTTAATGCTGTCCTAGCCTTTCATAACACTAAGGATAAATTTTATGAACAGGAAACTAAGAAAGTGATTTTGATTTTAAAAACATCAAAAGTCAGAAACACTTAGAAACCTTTAACCAAGGACATGAGGTGTGTGTACACTGAGAACTAGAATCCTTGACTGAAAGGAATAAAATAACTGTCATTTGAAAAAGACTAGCTTTTTCCAATATGCCCTGTGTTGAAGGCTTGGTGCCCTGGGTGGAGGTTGGGAGGTGCTGTGGAACTTTAAGTGCTGGGGCATACGACATGCCCCAGAGGAGATGTTGAGATCCCTGTCTCTCTCCCTCTCTCTCAGCTTCCTGGATTTTGTTGTGAGTACTTGCTCTGATATGAGCTCCCACCAAGGGATGGTATAGTCACAGACATGCTTTATCCTTCAAAGGAGAGGAAGAATGATCCCCCAAAATGATTCCAAGATCACCAGGGCTGCCATCCCCACTACAGGTCAGGGAGACAAGGATGCTTCCTGCTTGGTTTTAGGGGGTGGGTCTCCTCAAGGGACTTCTGATAACAGCCACTTCAGCAGGACCTTCTACTGAGATGCATGCAATGAGGCTGCCCTACTAGAATGAAAGGTCCCAAGAGGAGGTGCTGCCACCCAAGTGGGTCTGGAAGGCAGCTTGGTCTGGAATCCTTGCATAGTTTTGGATGTGCTTGGGATCGGATCCATCATCCATTCCTCTTTTCCATTTCTCCCTTTTAAAATGGAAGTATCTCTTTTTTTCCTGTTATTTTATTATGTATTTTGTTAGTAGATAATCTTATTTCATAGATTCATTGCTGGAGAGAAATTTTGCCTCAGGATGAATCTTGCCTTACTCTTATGAATATCTGATTTAGATAAGATTTAAATGAGACTCAATTTTAAACTTTCATATTGATTCTAGATAAGTTAGCACTTTGGGGGCTGTTAGGATGGAGCTTCACATTTGAGGAATACATGAATTATGAGAAGGGCAGTGATGCAATGTGATGAACTGAATGTTTGTGTCCCCTGGTCCCCAAATTCACATTATGAAGTCCTAATATCCAGCGTGATAGCTGTATTTGGGGATGTGGTTGCTTAGGAAGAACTTAAATGAAATCATAAGAGTTGGACCCTCTTGCAAAGACACTAGATCGATCTCTCTCTCTTTTCGCCTTGATCCTTGATTTTTGTTTCTCTCTCTTCATCACTGGGGAAAGACCATGTCAGGGTATAGTGATTGTTTATAATCCAGAAAGAGAGATTTCACCGGAAACTCTGCTTTTTTAGATCTCAGTCTTTAAGTGTCCTCAATGTGGGAAAATTAATTGCTATTTTTCAATCCATAATCCTGTGGTATTTTATTATGGCATTCCAAATAGGCTATTACAATAGTTATGTAAAATGGTACAACTGCTATAGAAAATAGTATGCTCATTTCTCAAATAAGTGAACATACAGTTAGCATATAAACTACCAGTTCCTCTTATAAGCCCAAAAGAATTGACCCCAGGGAGTTGAACAGACATTTGTATACTAATGTTCATAACAGCATTGTTCACAATACCCCAAAGTTGTAAATAAACCAAATAAATGAATGGGCAAACCAAATGTGATATATACATCATGAAAAAAAATCTGACACATGCTGCAGCATGGATGAACATGGATTTAAGATATTATATTGAGTAATAGCCACAGAAGGACAAATATTGAATCATTCCAATACAAGAACAATTTTGAGGAGTCAAATCCAGACAAACAGGAAGGAGAATGGTGGTTGCCAGAGGCTTGTGGGAGAGAGGAGAGTTAATGAGTATAGAGTTCCAGTATGGAAGATGGAATGTTCCAGTGATGCAAGCCCAGAAATTTGAATGTACTCCATGTTGCTGGACATTAATGCTGCAGAGCATGAAAATGGTTAAAGTGGTGATATTTTAGTTTTAAATATTTCACCACAAAGCTTAACGTTGGAAATAAGGGGATTCTCTTATTACAAGGTGCTATTATTTACACCTTTTAAATTACAAATAATTTTAAAAGGATATTCATATTTTAGGATGTTGCAACTTCCTGAAAAATCAAATGAATGAAGATGGAAACCAAGAGGGTAAGCAACGTCTTTTTATAAACCAGGTATGGAGCGCATTGCACTTCCTTCTGTTCTCAATTATAAAAGGAACTCAGGAGATTGAGTTAATAGTCTAGCAAGCAGGTATGATGATTTTCATTTGTTTCCTACCTGACTTTTATTCATACGTGTTTAAAGGCATTTAAACACTATGTGTATCTTCCAGAACACAGATTACCTGAGTGTAATGATCAGTTCTTGATTCCTCATCTATTGGTGTCCATTCTCCATATACAAAATTTTTAGACTCATTGTACCAGATTTTAATTATGTGAGACCAGGAGATAGGATGAGATTCCCAATGTGTATTTTCTCCACAAAAGGTATCTGAAAAGAGGAAACAGGGCTGAGTTACACTCTTAAATTTTGAGAACGTCATATAAGGAGATTTCCCTCATTTTTATTTGGTAATTGGTTCACTGATGATCTAGGCAGCATCTTGTAAGAGAAGGTAAAGGCAATTGTATCCTTTCTGTCAATCTTCCTTCTCATAGATCACTGGGCATGTGGTGTCAGGTTTGGTGAAAAGTTGAGAATACGAGATAATGAGCTCTGAAATCAAATCCATCAACACTGCAGTCTCTGCTACTTCCAATCTGAGGGAGAGGGTGAAACCAAAGAAAAGCCTGTGAGTTATAAAAGGGCCTTGGCTCCAAAGCAGCCACATACAGGACCTAGGTTGTGTAGGATCTTGACACGAATATTTGTTTATTTAGCCACCTACTTAAGGCATATCTATTGACTAGACATACTACTGAAGGATAATCTGTTTTTTTCAGGGAAAGAAAGACCCATGTTGCTATTTCACTGCTCAATAGAATTTGGGCTAAAAATCCTAATAATCTGTAGATGTAAAGTTGCACTCATATATATATATATATATATTTTACTATTTAGTATTAAAAATATTCTCATGAATGTCTAGTTATGTAGGAAGTACTAATAACTGTGTAGGAATCATCTAATTGATATGCCTAAACATAGGCTCCTTGTTGATCACCTAAAGGTGTTCTGTGGCTCAACAGAGTTCACAGAACTCATTTCTCAGCTGTGTTAGGGTTCTATTGCTAAGGAAATTCCCAGGGTGACATTTGGGTAGCTGAGGTACCTCTTAAGGTGCAAACCTTCTGGGTACCTAGCTGCACTTAGTCTTCTGTAATAATGATGGCTTTGGTTCTTTTCTACTTATGGATAGAACTCAACATTTGGAAATCAGAATATGCACATTAAAAAAAATAATAAAAATAAAACATTACACTAGGTTAGAGTTTACTTCCATGTATGGGCAAGTACAGATACAGAGTAGATGATGTAACTTATTCTTTGTTTGTTTGTTTATTTACCGGGGCTGGGGGTGTTGGGTGGCACCAGGGATTGAACTCAAGTAAGGCTTAAGGCAGGAGCTCTCAGTAGGTATGACGCTATGACAACTGAGGTCCCTAACACATTCTTACTGATATACATCCACCACTGAGCCACATCTCCAGCCCTATTTTGTATTTTACTTAGAGACAGGGTCTCACTGAGTTGCTTAATGCCTGACTTTTGCTGAGGCTGGCTTTAAACTCACAATCCTCCTGCCTCAGCCTCCTGAGCTGCTGAAATGACAGGCGTGCGCCACCGAGCCTGGATGATGTAAGTTATTCTTGTCAGGTGACAGAAGAATCCACATGCTTGGTGAGATTACTTTACGGTTTTTGTAAGATGCTGGGTCATATATACGTACTTTTAATTCGCCTCTCTAGTGGGTTGCTGTCTGTCATATCACAATACTTTGAAAAAATTCTAGCATTTCCTGCAGCTTCTTCACTCCATTTCTAAAGTGGCAAGAAAAAAAACAAGCACACGATGTCATTCACATTTCCATCATAAGATGCTTATTTATTGTTTCTAAGAATCTAAGACTTGTAATATCTTTGTGTAAATTAAAGCTTAAATAATTACATTACTCTTAAATATTCTAATAGGGAAAAGGGAAAAATTACAATTCAATATATTGGCCCTTGAATTCACAAGTTCAAAATTAAGAATAACACACAGCAGCAGCTTCTATCTCAGAAGCAATAAAAAAAATTAAGTGAACACTTTCAGGAAAACAGACAAGAATTAAAAATCTAGCCCAATAATTTATTGAAAGTTTCACCTCGACATGTTATTTTACCTCTTTGCATCTCAGTTTCTGTATTTGTAAATGTGACCCATCATTCATGTCCTAAGACTTGTTTTAAAAGTTTAGTGTGATAATCTGTGCAATACAATTGTAATATTATAAATTTTATGCTGTGTGTTCCATAAACAAATTATAGATATGATTAGAAACATATACATTCATACATCTCTACCTGAAATTATAAGTAATCTCAGAACAGTAGATAACATCACATGCTAGAATCTCTTACCAATTTTGCATGTGTTTTATCTCACTTTATCTTGATGCAACTTTACAAATGAGGTACTGTTATTTTCCCTGTAAGTAAATAAAGTAATTGAGGCACAGAAATTTTGAATAACTCTTAAGGATCACACTACCAGCAAGTGACAAGGAATTTGTATCAACTAGTCTGGTTACAGTGTGCCCTCTGAGATATCAATGTAGGTCAGGTGTGTAGAATCAAGACATTTTGTTGGCTGAAGCTCAGGAACAGCTATTCTCCAAATAAGGCTTAAAGCAGGAGCTGTCAGTAGGTGTGACACTATAACAACTGAGGTCCTTAACACATCCTTACTGATATACATCCATTTAAGACTGTCCTTATATCACATGTAATACATTACCAACAAAAGGTGTAAGGTTCCCCCCACCCCCACCCCCTAATGTACTTCTTTGTAATCATTCAGTTATTCTTTTTTTTTTATTGTTGGTTGTTCAAAACATTACAAATTTCTTGACATATCATATTCCACACTTTGATTCAAGTGGGTTATGAACTCCCACCTTCACCCCATACACAGATTGCAGAATCACATCAGTTACACATCCATTGATTTACATATTGCCATACTAGTGTCTGTTGTGCTCCGCTGCCTTTCCCATCCTCCACCCTGAAGAATAACTGAATGGAATATTTCATTCAGTTATTCTTCAGATGACATTCTCATTTGCAGCACTGTCCTGGGAATGGGAAGAAGTTTATTATTATATGAGTATATGCTGCCACCTCGTGGTACTTTTCTAGAATTACTCTTCAGGTTGAATTTACTACTTCACAGAGTAACTTCGGACTGGCACTGTGGGAAAACATGGTTTTGCTGGGTTTAATTATTTCATGCAAAGAGGGAGAGAGGGAGGGAGGGAGGGAGGGAGGGGGAGAGAGAGAGAGAGAGAGAGAGAGAGAGAGAGAGAGAGAAGAAGAAGAGAGGAGGAGGAGGAGGAGGAGGAGGAGGAGGAGGAGGAGGAGGAGATATTGTCTCATTGAAGGAACAGAGGTGACCACAGATATGACCAGTGCATAACATAGTATCTTTAGGCACTGGGAATGCCATTTTACCGACTAGAAAAGAAAAAAAAAACAACTTGTCTATTGGGATCATTTTGATAAATGCCTAGAAATGGATCTCATCTGACTAAAATCATACGTAACTCTTTGTAGTGAATGCTGTGATGCTCTACAGAGGTTCCTTTCCAACCTTAAGGACTCAAATGCTCAGCAGGTAGGAATCTTTCTGATAGGAGCTCTATTTTCTGATTCTGTAAATTGTCCTTATCTGTGAACATATTCCCATTCTGGGGAAGCACACTTCCAAAAGCTGGTAGATGCCAATACCAGGCTACCTTTCTCCAACTTGGGACAACTCAATGAAACCTCCTAGTGTTTCAGCTTCCCATGAAATAAGCTGAGGCTTATGTTGTAATGACATCACCAATAAAATCCTCCCTATGCAGAATCTCTCCCTACTGCCACAGGCAGGTGTAAATCTGGATATTGTTTCCATGAGCATCCTACATGATAATACCCAATTTTATAATCTCTTTATCTTATCTGGGAAAACTACCTCCAAAACTCCTTGCCCATTCTTCAGTCCAGATCACTTTGAAGCTGTCTGGGACATTACCTCTGATTAATGATGGTGTCACAAATACGTTCCCATGGTTGTTGTCCAAAGCTATGAACGCTACAATCTTATGTTTAAACATAAGATTAAATTGAACAACTTTTCTTTTCTCTTTGGAAAATGTCTTCCTGGCATTTATTTGACTCTTTCTATTTCTTTCATTCCTTAATTTTGCTGCTGCTAATTCTATTCATTTTCTCCTGTGTATGTCCTATTCATGGTTTCAGGCACATCTCAACCCCCATATTTCCTTTAAAACATGAATCAGTTTTACTAATACATTTAATTTACTACCTTTTGAATAAATGAACCTTAATACTTAAATATGTGTGTTCTTACCTACTTTTCTAAAGTTTCCTTTGTATTCACCTTTAATTTTCAGTAGTAAGGTCTCTGTAATATGAGATTATAACTTCCATTCATTCCTTAATGTGTTTTGGATTTCATAGTTATTTGCTCATCTGACTGCTAAGGAGTTTGGATCCTGTTTCTCATAAGAGAGGGAAGTGATAAAGAGCAGGGTCCCTGGAGCTAGCCCCCTGGCAACAAAATCTGAGCTCCAGCAATTGGGATTTTGGATAAGCTACTTAATTTTCCTGGGGCTCTGTATTATAATTTTTTTTAAATGGAGATGATTTTAGTGTGACAATTAGATAAGTTAATGTAATAAAGTACCAAAAAATGCTTATTAACAACATTATACTCCTAGTAGCTGCAATACGAGTCAAGTATACCTATAAAAGCTAAGAATTTGTTTTCTTCAAATAACACTTTCAATATTACGATGTCCAGGAAATAAATTGCAAAATCCTTTCAGTATTATTCTGCTTCTTCCTCTTCCTCATTTGCAAGAGAAAGTTGTCTGTTAGAATCACCCTCCACAGTCTGCACCGCAAGGGAGCAGGCTGAGGTTTCCACAAACCTGAGGATACTTCTGGATAGTAAAATTGAGAATACTCACTTCATATACCCAAGACTTCCCTAAGTTTGTCTTGTTGCAGAAGACACCAGGTTTATAGTGGAAGCACAATTCCTCTAACCCTTTATAGAATACAATAAAACTGAAAATAGATTTGCCAGTACTTCACTGGCAGCATCAACTGGCGTTGAATCTGGACATCTTAATCCTCAAATAAGTGTCCAATAGCCTCCGGGCATCTTCCAGATGAAGAAAGCTATGCAATGCCTGAATAATTATTTAATCCAAGTTATTATGTACTATCAGCATCAGTTCAGCTGAGGGCTTGAAATAGTTCCATGTCAGACATCCTGAATCAGAACATCAGATAGGTAGGACCCTGTGTGTTAGCAAGTTCTTCAGGTGACACTTTACTAAGTTCTTTTGGTGATTCTCAAACACACTAACATTTGAGGAACACTGTCCAAAGGTACATAAAACTGAAGCTCAACTGTCTGAGTCAAAATTGCTGCTCTATCATTTCTGACTATACAATCTGTTATAAGGTTACTTACCTCTTTCTTTTTCTAAGTGCTAGGTTTGTTGTGACAAATGTATATTTAGTATATTGAAAGTTCAAGAACCTAACAAGATCCTGGTCAACACCATGAGTATTAATCCCTCACTGGGGATATTGCTGCTGGATCTTACCATCTTCAGCATGTTCCTAGCTGGTGGAACCACTCTTCTCCTGATGGCATTATGTATATTGACGATTTCTTCTTGGACAGCTGTTAATTCTGTGTTGAGTTTAGTGTAGAGGTTTTTGGATACCTTTGTCTGTTATCAGAAAATAATTTATTAATGTTACTTCTTTCAACTGGAACTTATTACACATGGCACATTATTTGCACAGCTGTTCACAGAGTAAATTTAGAATTTATATTGAATAAACAGTGATCCAGGGCATTTTGGAATCTACAGTGCCTCAGTATGTTAGTTTATGTTATATTTAGTTAGTATGTTCTATTTCTCCAGTGTGAGTTTTAAGGAATTCTAAATGTCAGGCTGAGATTTCACTAGTCTTCAGAATAGTGCATGATTGTTCTGTGATTTAAATATTTTCTACTATGTGACTTATATATTGGGACATGTTGAAGTACATTTTTTATTGGGCAACAGGGAACACAATGGAACTCATCTTGAAATTATTCCATTTACAACTTATTTCCCTTCCTAGGCTCACTCTCTATGCGTCTAGTCCACCACACTTCACCCCACTATTTTATTTGCTTTCCAAATAAACCACTTGCACTTAAATTGTCTAATGGTACATATCTGGGAGAACTCAAAAGTATACATTCGTTATTGAGTGTGAAGCCTTAAGTGCTATCCTTTCACATTCTGTATTTTTTCTCTTTTATGTGAGAAAATACAATGTCTGCCTGCACACATGTAAGAAAGTATAAAATAGAATTCAATGAGTCACATGACTGTTTTTTGAGTTTTCCTACCTTTTATTCTGCGACTCACTAAGAAAAAAAAAATACACGGCCAAAATATTCTAGGCTAGTATTAATTGTTATAAAGAGTATTTGGGGGGTGGTGGCATATATCACTATGTACTTGTAACCTTAAAAAACGGGGGATATGGTCATTATTTTATATTACCAGGTTTGTGGAAGGGGAGAGGGCATAAATGTGGAAGCCAGAATGCCCCTCTAGAGACTGTCCCTGTAGACACCATTTTCATTGAAAGTAGACTCATGTGGTGCCATTTTCTTCTCTTATCACATGAAGCTCTGGTCTAAACTAGGGGAGACATTGGGGAGTCACAAGAATCCACATACTATGTTAAGGTTAGAAGACACCTTGCTCTTCTGGAAACCCTAGTTCTACTAAAATACATGACACTTTTGCTACCATGTCATCCTTGAATATTTGTAACTTCCTATTATGGTTTTTCTGTCATTTCCTCTCATTCGCAGAGATCGTGCCTCCTAAAACAAATTCTGAGTTACCTGAATGGACTCTAACATTCACATGTAATTCTCCAAATCTCTACGGTCTTAGGCACTTGAACTCTTCTGCTGTAAACCTCTCCTTCAATCCTTTTCATCTCCCCACTTTGATGGTCATAGAACATATTTCATATTGTCCTCAAATACTATACCTTCCAACTTACTTGATCAAGTGTGTTTCCCTGCCTGGTCAGGATTTCTAGTTCCAAGTTGTTATGGTTGACCACCCTGTTCTTCAATGTCATCTAGCCTTTTTAGCATACACATGTCTCTGCTAGTCAACTTTTGTCTTTTCCTCTTTTTCTATCCATATTCTTTCATTTCAATAACTGACTTTCTAGAATCTGAAATCCTTCATCTATCACCCACACCTACAAATATCCCACCTAGGAATACCACAGATTTGGATAAGAGTAACACTTCCTCTGATGGCACTGTCAGTTCAGTATTGACAGAAAAAAAAAATTCTATGAAATAACAAATAATGGTGTCCCTTCAAATCAATATAAATGATTTCAAATTATCCCTTATTTGTTCTCATTGATTCTACTTAATTACCTGGTTAACTCACTTGGTCTCTCTCTACAACATTATTGAAAAACTTTTGCATTTTCTTCTATTCACACCAACCTTTTCTCAATGGATTGTGAAATATTGTACTTCCCCAGTAAAGAGACGCGATGAGAGAGCTGCTTCCACTTCTCTTGCCTAGTCTACCAACCCACCCTCTGTATCTGTACCACACTTTCCTTTTTTGGTGACATCTCTCTTGTGGATAGAGGCCAGGGATGCTGCTACTAAACTTACCACAAGGCCCAGGATAGCCCTCCACAACTAGTATTATTATTCCATAATAATATGTCAATACTGCTGAAGCTGAGAAACCCTACATAGAATCAATTCCTGTTAAGGTTCCATAGAAGTTCAACTTGTGTAGCCAATATTGTTTAAGAACTTGATCTTACTTAGTCTATTGCCCACTGGCTCCTTTGATTAAGCTTTCAGTGTGGGAATACTCTTTCTTTTGGTATAAGACACATCCAGCACCTTTTGTTCTTCTACCACCTCTTAGGTTTCTCTTCTTCCTTCTGGACTGACTGTCAATATAGGTTGGCCTTCTCTTGGCCCCCCAGAGCCCCCCAGTACTGTATTGCTTTTATTTTCTTTCTCCACTCCTCTTGCTATTCTTTTACCTACCCAAATAAAAAGCACAAGCACCACGGAGACACTTTCCTGTTGTACTCATGAACAGTTTACAATTCTCAGAAAGATGAAATCTTTAACAAGGTATTGCTTATTTCTTGGCTTCCATTTAGGTTATGCACCCTGACTTTTATCTACCTCAGTAACAGTGATGTCCCTTTAGTGATCCTACTGTGCCTTTTCCCATCCTGCCTTAGAATATGGGTCTGTGCCTGTTCGTTTGATAGCTTGCAAGACCAACTTCACCTTCAGATCTCAGGTCTACCAGGTCCTCAGAGAAGATGCCAAATTCCTCAGACAATATTGAATTTTCCTAATAACTGACCACAACTCCCTATACTTTTCCTTCAAAGGTCTTTTTATGTGTTGTCTTCCAGATTCTCTTGGAAAACTGTTTATCTCCATAGTCAAGCAATTTCTGTCCCATTAGATGACTAATACCCCAGGAAACTGATACTAGGATAATTTAAAAATAAAATTCAGGCCTGATATTTAGTCTATTGCCTTTCTACTTAAAATCTTAAAAAAAAAAGAAAGCTTAAGATGCTTTGTTTACAAGTTGGCACATCTTATAATTTATTTTAACTGAGATTCATGTTTAAAGCTTATATAGTACATTTATGTTTGTGTTTAATTTGTCTAATCTTCCTGTTTCAATTTAAAATTCTGAAGTCTTAATTTTATGAGCAAACTGTCTATAAAATTATATGCAAGTGTTCCAATGAGACTCTGCCTATGGAATGTATACATTTCATTTTATCATTGCCTTCTGCTCTTATCATTGTCTTTGTGGATTCTTGATCAGTAAGTAGATCAGGTTCTGGTTACCTTGAATGGAAGGATATCTTCCTATCTACATTTTGCTCTAGGCTTATAAATAGTGACACTGACTCCTTCTCTCCTATAGCAACCTGGGCCAGCCCATCTCCTGGGGTTTGGGTTAAGTGGTTTGAACAGCCTAATATTAGGTCTTCAAGGGAGATTTCTGACTCGCTGCCATTCATCTTTTTCTTCAGTGTTGTGGCTCAGCTTCAAGTTAGCTTTTCCTCATTGCAAAGTGTGAAGTATGCCCTTCCCCTTCGGGGAACTAAAAAGGGTTAAGAATCAAAGGAAGACTGGGTATGGTGGCACATGCCTGTAATCCCAGTGGCTCAGGAGGCTGAGACAAGAGGATGGTGAGTTCAAAGCCAGCTTCAGAAAAAGCAAGGCACTAAGCAACTCAGTGAGATCCTATCTCAAAATAAAATACAACAGAGGGCTGGGGATGTGGCTCAGTGGTCAAGTGCCCCTGAGTTCAATCCCTGGTATTAAAAAAAAAAAAAGAATCAAAGAATCAAAGGGAGAAGAAAACATCTTCAACACTCTACTTCCAGCCTATTACTAGAGGACTTTTGAGTAGTAGACACTTGGTCTGTCTTTGTAGAGCAGGGTGAGTGATAGGATCCCAGCACTAAACTATACCCAACAGCCTAAAGCATACAGATTTTCTTTAATCAAATACCTTCTACTTGTGACTTCTCTTACCTGGCCTGTGGAAACACACACACACACACACACACACACACACACATTGTCTTTGACAAAGCTATTTATTTTGAAAGGATTTTGATAAATTAAAATATTTTTATAGCATTGGAGTTATTTAAAGATGAATATTATTGACAGATCATAAATTATTGGGGACATGTTCTTTACCATATCACTGAGTGTTCTGCTTCTTTTTTGTGATTGTTGAAGTTCTTTTCTAAAATTTATTTATTTATATAGTAATTAATTTATTTATGTGTGTGGGACTGACATCAAACTCAGGGCCTCCCACATGCTAGGCAAGTGTTCTACCACTGAGCTACATCCCTAGTCCAAAGTTCTTATTTTTAACATGTAAAGAGCTAGTCCTCTGATATTGATAACATGGTTAGCAGTCCCTCATACCTCTCTTTGTCCTTGGTATTTTCCAGTTTCATATTTGATTTAATGGCTTAAATTTTTACTATAATAATAAATCATATAGCTCAACTGGTATATTGATGTAATAACTTGTCTGGGAATATAAACAAAAACAGTGTTGTCTGTTTTTGTTTTTCATTTAGTCATGGAAAATGGATATATTTTAAATAAATTGTTCCTTTTGCATATTCTCAATTGTTTTTGTTTGTTTTGTAACACTGCAAAAAAAAAAAAAAAAAAAAAAAAAAAAGAAAGAAATCGGCTTGGGCTCACAGAGCTAAATAAAACAAGGTTAATCTTAGTGCCACCCCCTTCTTAGCCATGAAACTTTACCATGTACTTAATCTCATTGTTCTTTGAATCTCTAATCAGTAATAGGGTATGAAAAGCTGTACTTGTCTAATAGAATTACTGTGAGAAGTAAGCGGGTAATTGTTGACATCTCCTCATAACAGAGACTGTAACACTGTTATATTAAAGGGTTAGTGCTTATCCTCATCTAAAAAGTAACTTTGTAACTCACCATCCTCACATACTCTTACCTCCAAAACAGGCAGGAAGCCAGCAGCAACTGCCAAAATTAAGAAGTATTTGGTTGCCATTCCTGAAAAGAAAAGATTATTCTCAACTCATGCAACAATGTTTTTAATAAGCATTTCCGAACCACTTTTACATGTTTTTGCAATTTCCACAGAACAAAATATGTGTTTGTTACCAGGACCCCAGAAAGAAATATAGAATTGTGGTTGAAAAGATAATGAAATTCTCAAAATTGCAAATGTCTCAATCTCCTGAACCTTTGAATATGCTCTATTGGGTGGCAAAAGTGAATTAAGGTAGCAGATGGAATTCAAATTGCTGACCCACAGACTGACTAAGAGTGGGGAGACTGTGCTGTTTTACCCAGGTGGGTCCAAGGTGATGGCAAAGTTACTTACATGTGGGAGGGGAAACCAGGAGAGTCTTTGTTAGTGACAAAGTGTATGAGAGACTCAACCAGTCATTGCTGGCTTTGAAAGTGAAGGGGAGATGGCAATCAAGGAATTCATCTTGCCTAGAAGCAGGGAAAGTCCAGGGAACAAATGTCCCCTACGGTTTTCTTACTGATACCTTGATTTTAGTCCAGTGAGACCCATTTGGACTTCTGACTTCCAAAATGATAAGATAATAATTTTGTGTTAAATTTTTGAAACCCTAAGTCTCTGATAATTAGTCACAGTGGCAAGGGGAAACTAATACCAAAAAGCAGCAAGATTAGATTTGAATTCAGCATTGTTTACAGAGAAGAGATGTGATCTTTCTTTTTTTATTAAAGAGAGAGAGAGAGAGAGAGAGAGAGAGAGAGAGAGAGATTTTTTAATATTTATTTTTAGTTTTTTTCGGTGGACACAACATCTTGATTTTATTTTTATGTGGTGCTGAGGATCGAACTCAGCGCCCCGCGCATGCCAGGTGAGCGCGCTACCGCTTGAGCCACATCCCCAGCCCAAGAGATGTGATCTTGATGCTAGCAATTTGGGTATGTGATTTAGAGATGTTTCATATATCTGACACTCTCCTAAGAATGGTTGGTTGTCTTTGAGTCAGAAAAATCAGTACACTGTCCTTTATTTTTACACGATATAGTTAGCAAACTCTAGTAGTATAGGCACTTTCTTTTTAAAATACATCAAATTTATTTCTGAATCCATCCATCCTGCTGAATGGGAAGCAGAAAAGCCTAGCAGTTTGGTTCTCATTTTATGGGGTACACATTTTTAATGAGCAAGTTCAATAATTTATGTAGAATAAAATAGTGAAGAGAATTCATGTTTGTTCATCTAATGATGTGGTTGGCCACATTTTTCAAACTTCCCCTGCCCACTGAAGAGCACATTTAATAAGAGGGATACTCTTTAAATCGGTTCTTTCAGGGAACACACAGATGCAAACAATCTCATCTTTGCTCTCATTTTCATCTACTTTTCCCCCTTCTTTTCTTTCTCCAAAGTTTCACTACCCTCACACTATGAGATTTACAATCATGTAAAAATTCATAAATTAGTTGAATTTACATATGAAAATATAATCAATATGAATTTTTCACCTTACTTTCCTAGAATTTCTATTGATATTACATGTTCATTATGAGCATTATTTTGAAAAAAAAGTAGAACAAGTTGCAATTTACTTCAATTTTTGGATTAAGTGATTTTTTTTTCTAATATAATTAATGCCATTATCAACATTTTTGCACACAGGCCCCTGCCATTTTTAGGATTTTTTTTTCATTAGTTGTCATGGAGTGGAGCCCAGAACTGAAAATTTATTGAAGTCTGTGAGCTTTTTTTTTCTGGAATTATATAAATAATGTAAATCTTATTTTACTTCTAAGTACACCCTAAACTTATTTCTAATATTTAACATTCTTTGTAAATATGTGATAGATGACTTTGTATTTTCAAATGTTAGAATTCACTGACACACATGCTCCTCCATCACAATCTGTTAATTTAAAACTGTGTGATAAAATAAAAATCATACTGATTCGAAGTTCAAGTATTAGCATTTTGTGCTACGTTGTTTTATTCTCCATGACACTTTAAATCCACAGTTCCCTGAAAATCAGCTATTTTTTGTTTAAAATGAAATCCAACATGCTGGAGATACAGATATCATCCCAGTTCATCAGACTTCAAGAAGAAAATAAAAAAACCTCTTTATCATTAACTAATATTGTTATAAATTACATTAATATCCTTAATGCATTCATAACTTCAAATTGAAAGCATACTATGCTTTATAAAAGACTCTAATTCTGACAAAAGGCATTGGAAAACACACAATATTACTTAGATTATTGGAAATATATATATATATATATATATATATATATATATATATATATATATATATATCAGATTCTTTAGATATGAATATAAAATTTTTTGTTACAAATGGATGAAAAAAATATTGTTTTATAATATATGCATAAGAAATTTGATTCAATACTACATAGAGATGATTTAATGCCACAATTTATAACCTCTGCAAGCATTGAAAGAAAATACAAGAAAACACTCTGATCTCATGAAAGTAATTATGGGAAAGTTGGCATCAACTGGGATTATACCTAGAATTTTTGATTCATCCAAAGAACTTGGGTGGATCAAAGATGAGGACACCTATGCAGAAGGGAAATTGCTAAGAAAGCACCCTTAGATTTTTTAGCTCAAGTTTTGGCTTGGGTAGAATGTGTGTACTCAACCTAAAGCTCCTCAGAAAACAAAATCAAAAGGAAAATAGAAGGACATCCTTGGTTTGCAAAAGTTTCAAATAGCCACTTGGAGCAACTAGGTCAAAACAAGAAAGAAAGAAAGAAAGAAATTCATACTCAGACATAAGAAGTATATTAAGCATTCAAGAATAAGGATTGAATCCAGGTGATCATGAGGTTATCCATGTTGACCCCACATTATGAGAGTACAGACTTTGGTCTTTTGGATAGGAGATCAAGTATTCTGAAGTTCAAGTATTAGTGTTTTGTTAGCTTAAAAAGTTTGGGAGTCAGGGCATGGGACAGGAGGAATAACAAAGAGCAGACAATAGGCAGAGGTAACAAAGATCCATATATGTAAATTAGAATTGGAGAATAGGACTCATGTTGAACAGAGATTGTGGGTGTAAGTAATGTAAATGGTCCAGGTAAGAGATCCTGTGGAAGAAGATTGAGGTTTATTCATGAGAACATTGGAACAGGATATGTCCAGAGTCTGGCCAGGGCTAAACCTGCAGCATTTGCTAAATGATTCTCTTTTGCGTGGAGGCTGAAAACCTGAAAACTATTTAGACATTTTGACCAATGAATCATGTAGTTGCTTGAACTCAGGTAAAATCAGTTCTTATGAACAAAAGTATTAAAGATGAAGCAGAAGCAACAGCCTTTATTAGCATTGTTTCCTTCTTAGCACAATTATTTCAAATGCCAAAGGCAATTTTAAGCCAATATCCTTGCCCAAAACTTAAGAAACTATTTAAAATCTTCTTACCTTTAGCTTAACATTGTGTTTCTTATTGACAAATAGAATATGAACACTTGAAAGTAAATATTTTGTAGAAATAAAGACCAAGGATGAAGATAAAGACAGGAGAATTGCATCCTGCCCCTTGGCATGCCCTGGGAATGCATTCTACTGTGTTAAACTGTTCAACCACGACCTTCTCCAAAAGCACTTGCATGAAGAACAGTCTTTTTCTTTCCTTGATCAAAGAACTGATAAGAATGAACTATACAAAGAATATTTTTTTTCTATTTTTAAATCTTTGATTCAGTGAATCTGCTAACCTCCATTATCTATTACACAAAAGTGCAGAGGTTGATAAATTCGTAAGTATGTTTATAGTTGTGGAAAAACTACCAAAATCAAGGTACAAACATAGAATATGTTTAATACCTAAGAAGGTCATTGTGCTCTCTCCAGTGTGTAATCCCCAAGAGTAAAAGCTATCCTGATTTTTATAATTATGGATTAATTTTATCAGTTTTTAAACTTTGTATAAGTAGAATATATATATTTTAGTGAGAAATCTCTTTTACTTAATATTGTGGCTAGGAGTTGGATACATATTGCTTATAAGGAAGTTTCTGTGTGTTAATAGCTATGCAATACTGATAGGTAGTAGTCACACTTGAGTAGTGGGAACATGAGGCTAAGCGGATAATTCTATAGTCTACACCTACTGTACTGCTTTTAAAAAGCAATTTGCCTGAGGCCACTCTGGACCTTCCATGTCTTAAGTCAATAGGATACGCTATGTTCTTCAGCAGCAACCTATTATCCACAGCTGGCCCAAAGAGTTCTCTCAGTCAATAAAAAAAACCCCACAAGTTACCCTGAGAGAGTACTTTATGACTTTAATACAAACTAGATTTCAGGACTCAGGAAGACAATTATTAGAAGCAAAGCCCACCAACCATAAAATCTGTTAAGAACAAGTTACAATTAGAAACAATCAGTGTAGGCTAAGGTGACCAGGGTTGCCTTTGGATCTTTAGTGTGTCATTAAAATAGAAAAGTTTCTCATCCATGGGGTAGAATCATAAGCAGTGGGGACTTAAAGGTCTGAGACAATCCTGCTATCAGTCAAAAGTTGAGAGGTAGATCTGGGTGGAACTCTCTGGAAAATTCCCTCAGACCCCCAATAAAAATGGAGCAAGAGGGGGGTGCACCATCTCTCTCCTCTCTGAGAAGACCCACTATCTTCCTTTCTCCCTTAAAAGTGTCTCATTTCCCCCCCCTCCTTGCCTTTCCCTTCTAATAAATTCCTGCCTGCTACTATGCCCCAGTAGATTGATATTCTTGCTGTGAGGTCCCAAAGAATTGGTTGCAGACCCCTGTTTTTTCTTCAGCCCTGTGGGTCATTCTTACTCTGCAATAATAATCCACTGGATATATACCATATAATTTTTTGGCCCATTATCTTTTATACGTATTGTGATTGTTTTTAGTTTAGAGATATGAAAAATTTCTATAAACATTTTCTCTGCAGACACTGTTGTGACTGTTTTTTTGGTATCTGCTATATACTCCAGAGTATAATTAACCAGTCATATTGTATACAT